CCGGCCACGGAGTCCCCCCTCTCACAAAAATCTCTGCTGCTTGCCACAGGGGCCCCCTCTGAGACTGCCCTGACTGCTGACATGGGGACCCCCTTGAGACACCTCCCACGCTCTGCTACGAGGACCCCCTGGAGACTCCCACAGACCTAAAGACACCTACACCCTGGCAGGTCCTTCAGTCCTTTCCCTGGAGACACCCCTGCCCTGACCCCTCTATGGAGACTGCCATTGGCATGGAGACCCTAAACCATGGAGATCCCCCCTGCAGAGACAACCGTAGACCTAGGGGTGCCTGAGGGTCCCTCATGGAAGTACCTATAGATAAAGGAACACCAGTGCCAGAGACTTCCCCTGCTGTAGGGATGCCTTGATATGGAGACACTCTTAGATCATCTGCCCACTCTAGCATCACCACTGTCGGTGTGAGGACAGCACCTCACTGAGACACCCCTACGAACGTGATCCCAGGTACAGAGTGTGTCTGCTCCGCTGGCATCTATGGACTTCAGTGGGATGTGTGGATGTTCAGGAGCCCTGAAAATCAGGCCATTCATTTATTTCCAGAGTAAAGCTTGCGCTTAAGCCTTGCTCAGAACAACACACACATTTCTTTTCCTGCCAAGGGCAACAAGCACAGATACATGTCAGCACCCCCACCCTCCCTTGGCTATTCCCTTGTGAAATGACTTGTTCTTGTTTGCATACACAGTAACTGTGAATGGAGAAAACTCCAAACTGAAAAATGCTCTGCCAGAATAAAGGAAAAAGCCTAATCTGAAAATGGTTTTAGGTTCATGTCTGCCAGGGATTTAGTGCTAGCGAAAAGCCATGTTTTTCATGCATGTGACTCTACAAGCTGTACTGATACGTCCCTGGTGACTTGGGATTGCCTTGCTTATACAGAAAGAGGAGATGCTGCTTTCATATTGCTTGTGCTGCAGTGTTTGTATGTGGGTAAAGCCCTACAGCTCCACAGATATTTGCTTCATCTTCATGTCCCTTCTGTGACTGCCCCCCTGCTCATCATGCGTTCCCTCCTCTGCTCACCGTGTGTTTCCTCTCCCCGTGGTCTGGCAAAGGGACCCTGCCCAGTGCAAGGGAGGGCTGCCGGAAGAGAGTCGGCAGCCCTTCCTCCTCCCCCATTGCTTGTGGCTTCCTCATCCTCCTATGGGAGGCTACCGACTCCCAGCCCGTATGGGCTGGGAGCCTGCAGCCCAGTGAGTCTGGAGCTAGGGATGTAATAGTGTAGTCGATGAAACGATTAACCATGGGCAATGGGTGAAGGTAGAGATGGGGGAGGCAAGCCCTCATCCCCACCCCAGTCCTGCCCTTTCTGATGAGGCCCAACCCCCCCCAAAGGAGTCAAGTTGTCTTCCCACTGCACCATGGAGAAGGAGGGTGGGCGAGTGAGCGAGCACTGGGGAGGGAGGAGGGCATGCGGCCTAAGCCTCCCCAGCCTGGAGCATGGGGAGGGCGGGTGCTGGGGGTAGCAACACTCCGCCTCCAGGAGGGCTACGTCTACACTGGCAGCTTCTTGTGCAAGAACTCTTTTGCGGAAGAGTTCTTGTGCAAGAACTCTTCCACAAGAGAGCGTCTACACTGGCATGTGCTTTTGCGCAAGAGATGTGCTTTTGCGCAAGAGCATCCATGCCAATGTAGCCAATCTTGCGCAAGAAAGTTCTGATGGCCATTTTAATTATAGAGCTTTCTTGCACAAGAAATTCATGTTTGCCTGTCTACACTGGCCATTTCTGGAAGAGCTGGTACGCAAAAGGGCTTCTTCCTGAGCGGGAGTGTCAGTTCTGCCGCAAGAAGCCCTGATTTTATACATTAGAATGTCAGTTTACTTGCGCAAGAACATGCAGCCAGTGAGAGGACACCACCAGTGGATTTTTTGGTGAGCGGAATAATAAAACAGGCAGCAAGTTTTTGCGCTAGAGCGGACACTTTTGCACGAGATCGCGCCAGTGTAGACACAGCCTAGGTGTTGTGGGGGCGGAGTGTGGGCAGGGCTAGGTTGGCAGTTTGGGAGGGCAGTGCCTTTCCCTGCCTAGCATACCGGTTGCCTATGCAATTAACCGATAAGCAGGTGCTTATCGGTTAACGTTCCTGGCTACATGCAGTCCCCTCCCGCCTACTGCTCTTCAAGTACATTTTTTAATGGGCTGGCCTATAGGCTGGCTCAGTCCTGGCTCGTGCTGGGTCCTAGCTGCAACCCCCACTGCGGCTCTGCATTATCGGACTGGGGAGCCGGTGTGCAGGCAGGCATGCTGCATCCCAGCATCAACCTCCGCTGAAGCTCTGCATTAGACGCACTTTAAGAGCTGGTGCGCAGGCTTGCCAGTAAGTACCTCAACAGGAAAGGATACTTCTCAGTGGTGCTGCAAAGGGATGTTAAATAGCTGTTAGTAAGCTAATCGAGTAGTCTCTTCACTGAAGTCTTAGACAGAAAATGTACATCTCCAAAAGTTTCAATAGCCTCTCTTTGCAAGATTCAGCATCCTGCTCGGCCATATCAATTAACTACACAAGGATACATGCAGTTCATAGAAACACACGTAGTCTCCCATTTTTCCATGACCTCAGTCCACCACAAGGCACAGTCATCCTGCATTTCACCCCCTGTTTCCTGGTCCCCAGAAAGCAGTTGCTCAGACTGCGTAGATCCAGTTGCAGGATTGTGGCATAAAACTTCATTTGGGTTTCAACATGAGAAATGTGGGGGATAAATCATTGCTTCTAGGCATTTGTATTAATTGGTTTTGATAAATTATACTGTTAAAGCATTTAACCTTAAAGAAGATAAGTACAGAAAAAAGAGACTAATGATTTTCCAGTATCATGTAATAATGCGCTATTTGAATAGTAGCACATACATTACTATAATAGCCCTTGTTTTTGCTAATGCCATTACCAAGAGAGATGGGGCATAACTTTCTTAATGTTTTTAAAATAATTATAATTCTAAATATGAGACACACAAAGTGGATGAGGTAATTTTTTTTTGTACTGGACCAACTTCTGTTGGTGCAAGCTACAAGTTTTTGAGTCACACACAGCTCTTCAGATGTGAAGAACAGCATTGTGTGACTCAGAAGCCTCTTTCCCACCAGCAGAAGTCCAGTAAAATATATTACCTCATCCTCCTTGTCAGTCAGTCTCAGTTTTCAAAATGGTTTTAACACTAACCTCTTCCAAGTTGGCACATTTGTGCTTGTAACAAATTTTTGGAAATTGCTGATTTTGTAGTGTAGGAGGTACCTGGTGGGGCTCTAAAAAGCAGCAACATCAAAAAAATAAAAATCTTACCATTTCCACCTCTCTTTGTTAGTCTCCAGGACCTGTGCCTGAATATCAAAACTGTGCCTCTTACTGTGTATTAATATATGTGGTGGCTAGCAAGATTTAGAACAATCTTTGAATGTCCATTTTTTTACAGGTTTTTATTCATAACCCTCATGCCCGTGGCCAGAATGTAAGTGCGAATCGTATGCTGCAAAGCAGCCAGGATTCTGATATATCTCTTCTCAACATTAACCAGGGGGTCAGCTGTCTAACAGCAGGAGTACTAAATCCCCAACTTGGATATGATTGTCTTCTAGTTGGAACACAGACCAATTTGTTGGCTTATGATGTGTTTAACAATTCCGATTTGTTTTACAAAGAGGCAAGTTAATTTCATTCTTAGTCTTTGTCTTTTTGTTTTTCCTATTTCTTTTTTCATTCTTGCATATCAACCCAGTTTAAGTTTATAAATTCTAAGTTAATTTATTCAGTTGTTATGCTTTGTTTTTTTGAAAGTCAGTGATTTAACTCAATTGAGGTCTTTCTGTGCAGAGGACTTGCATGTTTTGAAAAGCACTATTATATTTTTAAGAGGAAAGTATAAAGTTAATATCTGTCTTTTAGTGACTTGAGTTTTTTATATTATGCTTACCAGTTATAAGTTAAAACTCAAAAGCCTATTCAAATCTGAAATGAAATCATTAGAGCAGAATAATATATTCCAGTCTGATATCTGAACTAAGTCTGCTTGGAACAGTATTTTGGAAAAGCCATGGATTTGTCATTGAGTCACAAATTGTATAGGAAAAAAAAATTAAAACATTACATTATTCTAAGCAAATTATTCTTTATTTTTCAGTTAAATATCTAAAATTAGTACATTAAATATTTACAATTTTCTTTGCTTCTTTTTAAAATAGGAAGAAGGTAATACAAATTAAATAGGTTTTAAAATACACTGAGTGTGAGGGTGGGGAAAGGTGTTTATACATACAAAGTTAATGACCAGCCTGAGTAATTGCAGACTGACCTTATTGTAACCTTCATCCTAATCAACATGCGTAACTGGGTTGACCCACCTTAGTACTGTAACCTCTTACTGTTGCTCTTGCTTGTTGTGTCTTGTCTTATAGTTAGTCCCCAATCTGCACTTGGATCTCTATGACCATGTAGCCTCCGTCTCCCAGTAAGATACTATGAGTGAAAAGGCGTACCCATGTGCATGTCCCATTTATGTCAACAGGACTTTGTACATGTTTGAGGGAGCATTTGCATGCATCTCATTACCAGTTTGGGATCTTAGATTATAAATTCTTTGGGGGCAATGAGCATGTCTTTGCTCAAAACTTCACAGGTAACACTATTTTGGGTATGATAAATCAATAGGTACTAAAAATATAACAATTCAAGTTACTTTCTCTTATTACACTACAGTGGACATAAACAGATCCAGTTTTGTAAGGTTATAAAGACTGACCTATTATGAAAAAAACTAAAAGTTGAATTTTTGTCATGAAGCCATACATGGATAGACATACAACCTTCAGCATGCACAATTAAATACAACATAGATTTTTGCTATTTTATTTTATGTTTGCAGTTGGTTATCTCTGTTTTTTTAATTTCTGGTTATTGGTTCATCCTTTAGACTATGATGGGTAGTCAATAAAACAGCGGCAGTTTATCAGAGTTAATTCCTGGTGGGCCTCAGCTGCTATATTTACCTGTACCTCTGCAGGTATGGGCGATTGCAACTCCTATTGGCTGGGAATGGCGATCCATGGCCAATAGGAGCTGTGATCCCCTGGTATGGGGGCAATCTAGGAGCTAACATTGGCAGACTGGATCTGGCTCTTGGACCAGTATTTGCCCATCCCTGAACTATGAGTACTTTATATTAAATGATGAATAACTTCTTCATTATTACATGCAGTATTAGGTTAATGTAACTCTGGATACTCTTTGATGAATCTTTGTTATGTATCTATATTCATATAATGTTTCTCTGCAGGTTACAGATGGAGCTAATGCAATCGTGCTTGGGATGCTAGGAGATATTTCATCTCCTCTTGCTATTATTGGTGGAAACTGTGCTCTGCAGGGCTTTGATTATGAAGGAAATGATCTTTTTTGGACGGTAAAGATATAGACAGTCCTTTTGATGTCTCTACAAGAGAGTTTTTGATAGATCAGTATTAATTTGATTTTTGAATAGCTCAGAAATCTTTCTTAATTTAAGATTTATGATAAACTGTGTATCTTTGGAATTTATTCAGTATATACTAGTGATTATAAATGGTTAACCGGTTAACTGGTAAATCTCATCCTTAATAGGTGAGGCTTACCTGTTGTGGTTAACCAGTAGAGGCTGTTCCAGCCCTGTGGGGCCTGCCAGAGCAGCCTTTCTCCATGGTGCGCTGCAGTCGGGGGCTGTCAATAGAGAGCCCAGCCTTCCTCCCTCCACCCCGCCACAGATTACATGCTGGTTCCTCAGGAGTGGGGCTGGCAGCCAGCTGCAGAGCCCGCAGTGAAGCCTGCTGGCCCTGCTCCCAGGGAGGCTTCACTTCAAGCTCTGCAGTATAAAGCTTAAACTAGCATTTTTAGCGGTTACACGGTTACAGTGTTAAATGAAGTTTTACACATCTTGTATATACAATTTGAGCCAGAGCCAACTATATTCTATAGTCTTTGTTCTTGTGATAATTAAAAAAATAAAAATAGTTGTCAAAGGCGAAACTAGCATAAATATTGATGACTCCTTTCTTTTAATTTTAGGTTACCGGGGACAATGTCCGTTCATTAGCATTGTGTGACTTTGATGGAGATGGGAAAAAAGAGGTTGGTTTGTGGTGGACTGTTTCTCTGTGAATTCAGCTGAAATACTGTCCTGCAATGAAAAGACTTCTTTATGTTGCTGGTTGATTTAACTGTGCTTGGAGCTATAGTTCTTTCTTTGGCTCTGATTTGCAAACACTTAGACGCATACTTCATTTTATATGCTATAAGAAAATGACCCATTGACTTCAATGGAGCTCATCACAGTGGGTAGAATTAAGTGTGAACACAAGTCTCTGAAGGATTGGAGCCTTGCTTTGGATATATTGATCACTGATTATAATTCTGAAGCTTTTCTTGGCAGTTTACAGTGTGTCTTTTTTCTTAAATACAAATAAATATATGCTAAAAATAAAAAAAACCAGCCAAATTGCTGATCACCCTAATTACTGATATATTTCAATAAATGGCAAAAATAGTTAGTTAGAAACTATATTATTCATTAAAGTAGACAGTTGTAAAATTGTATTACACATTACCTCATTTATGGTTGGATTTGTTTTTGATTTAGCCATTCTCAAATCCAATCACTGCATCTTTTCAGTAATGACACAATGATTAACTGTTTCAGAGGGGTAGCCATGTTAGTTTAACCGGAAAAACTCAAAAAACAATGAACAGTCTTGCAGCATCTTAGAGACTAACAAAAAATGTAGATGGTGTCATGAGCTTTCGTGAGCACAACTCACTATTTCAGATGAATGGAGTTGATTCACTGATTAACTGTTACCCATTGAATTGGGTAGGATGAAAATAATTTCCTTGTAAGGCAAAGAGAGGAAAAACTGTTATATCCAGATTGTTGTTATGTGTGGATGGACCCTGTGCCTGTTTCCACGTAAATGTGGAGGTCCACCCACATGTTGTAAATTGCAAGGTCAGGGTCTTAAATGTGAGTGGCAAAAAAAAGATGGTTTCCTAACATTCTTCAGGAGTGAGTGTATAGGCTATTTAATATTGTGCTAACTTCTAGTTTCTAGAACTTCTAGTTTCTTCATTTCTCCTTTTCTTCTTATTAATTGGGGTAACCTCATTTTTTGTCAGCTGAGACATGTACCCCAGATGTAATCCAAGTTTCTTCTGCTCAGCCATGACCTAGTTTTGCAACCCTTCACCTATATGGATCTCATTGAAGCAATCTATTTGCAGGATTGGGTCACAAATCAATTTACTCATTCTTCTTCCTCCACCTTAGTTGCTGGAACTGAGAGAGCTGATGAACAAGTAAAGTGATATACAGGTTAAACCTCTCTAGTCTGGCACTCTTGGGACCTGACTGGTGCCGAACCAGAGAATTTGCTGAACCACAGGAGGTCACTATAATCTATCAAATTTACTAACACTTCCAGTGCTTACTGGGCAGAAGACGGGTAAATTAGAACTAAATAACAGCACAGACCACTGAAAGCCAGGACTGGTAGCTGTAAACAAACTTTATGGGACTGCGGGAAACTTGGCCACACCCATGAAAAGTGGACATCCGACTAGCTAAAATCATGCCGGACCACAGTTGTTGCTGGACAGAGTGTGCCAGACTAGAGAGGTTCAACCTGTACTAAGTGATGATGGGGCTAATTCTAGGCTAGCAGGGTCCAGTGGAGAAGGGCACTAGACCTGAACTGTATTATTGGCTCTGCCATTGTTTCACTGTATGACCTTCGATAAGTCACTGAACTTCTCTACTCACTAGTTTCTATAAACTGGATGTAATGAAGTTTGCCAGTCTTTGTAAAATGGTTTTCCACCTGCTTAGTTTGTTCTTTAACATTCTTTATTTGAGCAAATAGGGTGCAGGAAAGGAATTGAAAAAATTGAGTGCATGAGCAGATAGAAAGAGGGCCCAAGTTAGCATTGTCCTGTGCCTCATGCCATAGTTTACTCTGCAGCAGAACAGAAAGAGAGACAAAATTATATCCTGGCAGTACTAGAGTGCTCTCCCTCACCCTTGCTTTAGGTAGTAGTTCAGTATGTGTTCATAGAGTTTAGGCAACCCAAACAGATGTAAATAATGCTTGGACAAAAAGAGAGTCTATGGCACCCATTAGTCCCAAAGTACTTTACAAACTTTTCATATCCCCATTAAAAACTCTTGAAAACTGAGCCTAGTGTATCTATTCACTCAGTAAAAGCTTTCTGTGTGTCTGAATTCTTAAGTATCTTTGTTTGTTGCTACTGTGAGTTAAACTATTTTAAGATTCTTTCTTTCTTTCTTTCTTAGCTTCTTGTTGGGTCTGAGGATTTTGACATCAGGGTTTTTAAAGAAGATGAGATTGTGGCAGAAATGTCAGAAACAGAGGTAAATTATTTCTAAGCAGTGTTTATTGTATGTTCCGATCGGGTACAAAATATTGCCCACTGTAAATCTACAATGGCTTTGATTTACTATGATGACCAGTTGAGTTAATTATTTAATTAGACCAATTTTATTAGAACTTTAAAAGTTACAGTTTAATAATGGGTTTAAGCTATTTGATGTGCTGTTGAGCAGCTAGCCTGCAAGGTTTTAAAAAATATTTTTTTGTCAGAAAATTAGGGCCCTGTCCAACTACACTGAAATTATTGAAATGATCTAATTGATGTCTGTTGGCTATGGATCAGGCCCTTAGTCAGAAGCTGTGAACAAGAGAGCTCAATACTTTCCCCACAAATCATAGGATAAGCAAGGTCAGATCATGGCTAAGAAGTCAGTGCCTGTATCTCCAGTGCAAGCAGTTCATTAGTTAATAAGACAACATCAGTATTTTATGTTGATATCATCTCACATTAGTTGAACAGATTTTTCTAGAATGCATTGACACCAACAGCATGTTTGATTGCATTGACACAAACAGTATTGGCATAAGCAGCTTGGGAAGCACAAATACAGATTAAACAAGGTTATATTTTTTAAAAATGCAGTATGAACAAAACGGAAGGTAGTTTGATGTAATCAGGTCAGAGATAAGCATGACATGTGCCAGTTAAAAACAACACCTGTGGTATAGACAGGTCTTAAATTATAGTTGAGGGATTGGAAGACTTTTAGGGAGGGAATGTGTCTGTGAAGAAAATAAAAGGGTGCTGGAGTTGTCACTCTTCAGCTTAATGTCAGTCGAAGGATTCCCACTGTTAGGGATTAGTTGCTTTTAGGGGAGAAAAGTGCCTTGTGGCTTGAAGTAGAGTGGGAAGGATGCCCTAGAACTGTGTTCCTCAACCAGTGGTACAAGTACCCTTAGGGGGTACTCAAGAGAAGTCTGCGGGGTACATCTACACAACTGAAAATTGGAGAAAACTGAATTTTGGTTTTAAGTTTTATAGCGCTTTATTATTTTTTTACTTTTTACACCCATAAATTTCATCGCCAGCCCAGCTACGATTAAGTTGTTTAAACAAATGCGTTGCAATGGTAGAAATTTTTTTTGTGTGTCTGAAAACTGGAGGTACTTATAGTGTGGTGGGGTTTTTTTGAAAAAGGGGGTACTTTATTAAAAAAAGGTTCAGAAACACTGCCCTAGGAAGTTTCCTTATTGAAAATCTGAAGAGAACTGTATTGTGGGAGGAAACTTGCTCCTGGAGTTAGGGATAAAAGTCTTCGCTACTAAGCCACTTATGAAAGAGCTATTAAAGCTAAAGAAGGGCAGTTTTGTTAGAGGAAGGTGGCTAGAATTAGAATTTAAGAGAATACCCCAGATTGGAATACAGGCAGTCCCCGGGTTACGTACAAGATAGGGACTGTAGGTTTGTTCTTAAGTTGAATCTGTATGTAAGTCGGAACTGGCGTCCAGATTCAGACACTGCTGAAACTGACCGCCAGTTCTGACTTACATACAGAATCAACTTAAGAACCCCAGGTGTCCCCAAGTCAGCTGCTGCTGAAACTGATCAGCAGCTGATTCCAGGAAGCCCGGGGCAGAGCAACTCTGCCTCCACCGGAGCAGCGAGAAAGCCCCGTTCGTAAGTGCGGATCCGACGTAAGTCGGATCCGCGTAAGTCGGGGACTGCCTGTATATGCAATAACATGTCACTTACTTTTGAGATATTTTCTGCAATCTGGTAGCTAAATATTTATTTAGTTTTAATTTATTTATTCTTCTTTGAAAACCATGTTCTTTCGAAATCAGTTCACCTTATCGATAATTTTAAGTTCTGCTAGTGATTAAATTTGTATCTAGTTAAAGGGATGGGGACCTATGGCCCAGCATGCGGCATGTCTTGATCCGGCCCACGAGGCTTGGGCTCTCTCTTCCCACAACAGAGCAAGCCAGAGCTGGCTTGTCCTGCTATGGAGTCCGGAATCCCAAGCGTAACAGGCTGGATCAATGCAAGTTACAGGCTGCATCGGGCCCACGGGCTCTGCCTAGCAGGGGAGAGGAAGTGGTTCTTCATTCTGATGTCATCCCCTACTCCCTCTGGCTGGGGAAATGGCAGCTCAGAGAAGCTCTGGTCATGTGCTCACATGCGGTTCTACCACAGGGGAATGGTCAGAGGCCATCTGGGGGACCACCAGCCATGCAACTCCTCCCCCAACACAGGGAAGGGTCAGGACCATTCCTCTTCACCTCTGCTCTACTCTTCCCTCTCTTGCGCTGTCCTCTCCCTGCCTCTCCTCTTCCCCCCAACCAAAGCAGCGCCGTGGACCAGCAGGGCTGGTGTCAGCAGTAAAGGTCCAGTCCCCCGCCCTCCTCTGCACTCGTCAGCAGAAGCAGGGGAAGTGGAACAAGGTAGCCCCAGCTGCTTTTCTCTCCCAACTACATCCATTTTCTGCTGGAAAGTGTGGGACAATCCTGCCTTCTTCCCTGGAGCAGTGTGCTGGGAGAGCAAAGCATCTGGGGCCATCTTGTTCTGTTTCATGCACCGGCAGTGAACGTGGAGAGCTGGACACCCTTCCTCAGGCTGGCCGACCTGCCAGCCCTTCCCACCCTCGGTATTTGAGGCATGTGACCCCTTATGCTCCTACATTGCCCCTGCTTTCTATCCCCATTGCTCCCATTGGCTGGTAAGCACAGCCAATGGGCGCAGCAGGGGGGTGGTGCCTGTAAGTGCAAGGCGATGCAGAGCCACCTGCACCTCCCCACCCTGGGAGCTGCACCAGGTGGGTGCCTCAAACATTTGTCCCTTCCCCCCCCTAGACCTTG